AGACCGCATCTCACGATTTCCGAATAATCATCGACTAACGGTCACTAATCACCACACACTTGTAAACGTTGGTGAAATATGCATTTTAGTAGCCAGAACTTGCCAGAACTTTGAAAAAAAAAATTTGTTTTTTTCAAAGTTGAAAAACTTTTATGGTGATCCTAGGGGGGCCGCGGTAGCCGAGTGGTTAAGGCGTCAGATTCTCGGCTAGTAGATCCCGCGTTTGTGGGTTCGGTCCCCACCGTCGCCTCTGGACTTTTTCTGACGCCTAAGGAGACCGTTGGCCACAATTGAAAGAAATTGACACGGCACTGTTCAATGGAAGGAGCGGGATCAGATTTGAACCTTGAATCCCGACCCTGAATTTGGTCCTAACCCCCTTCAAAAATGAGTTTCTTCGATGAAAGAACACCGACACACCGGGGGCTCAAATTCACACTTGTGTTTCGAGCCCACAAAAACATGGAGCCAGGGGGAAAAAAATGGTGATCCTAACCATTCATTTCCAAACCTAGAGACCAGAATATTTCAGTAAACATACTCCATATAATATACATTTTAGTGGCGTAATTGCTTTTTTAATTACTTTTTTTCAAAGATGAACAAATTGACGAAGAAAAGGTAAAAACCTTGGTTGAAGTATTGGTAAGGTGGAAAAATAAGAATGTAAAAACATAAGGAAATTTTGAATGAATTTATTAATCGTGTTTTAATTCTCCGAAAAAAAAAAGAGTTTTAAGATTCAAAAGGTTTTTATTTCAGTCATTCAAAATTTCCTTAAGTTTTTACATTCTTTATTGTTTTTTAATTTTCCACCTTACCAATCTGTCAACCACAGTTTTTACCTTTCCTTCATCAATTTATTCATCTTTAAAAAAAGTAATTAAAAAAACAATTACACCACTAAAAAGGATATTAAATGGAATCTGGAATCTGAAATTTACTGGTCTCTAGGTTTGTAAATAGTAGTTTAGAAACACCATAGTAAGTTTTTCAGCATCGAACAAAAAATTATTTTTCAACGTTCTGGCTACTAAAACCCTATTTAACAGACGTTTACAAGTTTAGTATTGAGCACATATTATTGGAAATTTGACGGAGATTTCAATCAATGTATTTGTCCAAATCCTTTCACTTTTGGAGTTATCATTGTTTATTTGAAGGAAGGTCGTGAAATCTTAAAAAATCATAAAAAAGAGAATAACTCAGAAACTGCTGAGATTCGGTTGAAGTTAATTAGGACTTTTTGGTTCCATTTTGAATGTAAAATCTATCAAAGTTTGCAACACGAGTACCCTGTATAGTGCTAGTGGTTTATAAGAAAATAAAAAGAGAAATGGAATAGAAAGTGTGCTTTGATAAATTTTTTTCTCTCAATATGTTTGTTAGCACATCTTGCTTTGCTATAAAATCCAAGGCTCGTTGGAAATCGAATCCCGGTATGACAGGAACCACCATATTCGGAATTAGAACGTTTTCAGCCACCGTGGCCCCGTTTCTATTTCTATAAAAACCAAATTGTTGACGTCCTGAATTCCCGGTTGTGAAACGATGACGAGAGGAATCGTAGGCTAATCTTTGTCAAGTATGACAAAGTTGTCATACAAGTGATGGCTACACGAAGCCGACCGTTTGACAATCACCAAAGTTGTTTTGGTGGTCAAGTGGTGGCGCCAGATTCGGCTACTTCCTGTATAGGAACGTTTGGGTTATTGCCCTGCCATGAATCTCTGAACTGTACACCTATTTATTATCGTACAGAAAACAATTCCTTTGGCTCAAGCCCAAAATATATAAAATAACAACTGCCTGGAGCAGAATTTGAAACATAAAACGCTCTGATGAGTTGTTTACTTCAAAAATACATATTACGCTAGGTGAAAGCTATCCAAACTACCCTAAACTACCACCCAAAAATAACACTATTTAAAAAAATGAACAATATTCCCTTCACTATTAATAAAATTCTGCTTATTAATTTCTTTACTTACAAAATGAAAATTCTCTAACACAGTTCTTCTTTATAAACTCTAAAAGAAAAATTACGAATGGGGAAAATTTTGTAGTTATTATCTCAGAATCATCCAAATTCCGGGACAAATGCAGGAAAAGGAGGAGTAATTTTTTTTCTCACCTAAGTAATCAAAACACGTCACCGGAAGGAACTTCCTCTATGAATGACTCTTATTACCTGGGACCTCATTTTTAAGCGGACCGTCCCGTAAAACTGTTAGTTTTCAATATTGTTTAATATTTACAGAATTACTACGGAGCTAGAGAGATGTGTTGTGTACAGAGAGAGGTAAAATTGCGATAGACAGACAACCTCTGACGTTAATCTTCTTAAAATCGTGGAAGTTAGATAATTTTTAGATAATTCATAATTTATTTGAACACTGCAGTTTATAACTTTTGTCAATGTATTTTTACTTCTATTAATGAGAAAATGGCGATTTACGTATATGATGCGTAATTACTTCTTTCCCCGCAAAAAAAAACCATTAGTCACCCCTCGAAAGTCATCTATTCCGTCTAGAATTCTTCATCGGCAGAATCATCCTTTATTGGACGTAAATATTACATATTGGCCGGATTCCGCGTTTGTTTCGACGAAGGGGAAGAGATCATGGCAAGGTCGTGGAACAAATAAAGGAACTGGTCGGCCCAGTGTCTTTTCCCTCATTTCCCACATTCTTGTAAAATTATCGTGACATTAAAGACTCAAGAAATAAAAGGAAGTTATTTTAGTATTAATATTTATGATTTTTCCGTAAAAAATTAAATATCAACACAATTAAAATTATAACTATTTCTTGATGTATCAGTCTCACTGACGATTATTTATCACAATTTTCAGTAATTTCCCAATTTATCAATATATTTATCTATATATCGATCAGCTATAGTTTTTTTTATCTATTTATCCATAACTACCAAGCTAATTGTCTATTTTTCTCTTTGTCTCACTCTAGCTCTCTTTGTCTATCCGTCCCTGTCTCTCTGTCTGTATTTTACACATATTTTTTCGTCCCCCCCTCACTCACTCTATCTCATTCCTTCACTATTTAATTTTTTCTTTGGTATGTTCTGAATTGCTATCTCTACGTCAGACTCTTTCCGTAACTCTCTCAATTTCTCTTTCTGTATACTTTTATATTTTTATCTATCAAACTATATATATTCATATACTATACTTATCTATCTAATCCTCGAACTGTCCGATTGTCCCATTGCCTCACACGATCTCTCTCTGTCTCTGTGTTTCTTCCCAATTTCTTTTTTTAATCTATTTATTTATCTATCAAGTTATTAGTGCTATAATTACCTGTCTAATCCTTTAACTATCTGGCCACAATTTCTCTCTCTCTCTCTCTCTCTCTCTCTCTCGCGCGCGCTCTCGCACTCTCTGTTTCTTTCTCTCTCTCTCTTTCCTATTTATGTATCTGTCAAACTATATATGCCTACCTAAGTATATATATTTCTTTGCCTCACGTGACATTTCANCTCTCTCTCTCTCTCTCTCTCTCTCTCTCTCCCCCTCTCCCCCTCTCCCTCCCTCACTCTCACTCTCTCTCTCCCCTCCATCTCCATCTTCCTCTCCCTCTCGCTCTCTCTCTCACGCTTTCCTTTCTGCAAAATTCGAATACACAATCTCTTTCTCTTCTCTTTCTTTCTCTATATCACTCATTCAATCTCTCTCTATTTCTCTTTCAATCTTTCTCTCTCACCCCTTCCTCTAACTTCCCCCCTATCTGTTTTATTTGAAGATAAAATATATAAAAAATTCAAATTTTTTTAGCCTTTTTAAAAGTGGATTGAATTGTGTGAACTTTCTCCACCCAACTTCCATTTTAATATTTTAATTATTAGTTAAGAACTCGCAACAATTAGTATAATTTAAGGAGCAAACTTTTAGTATCTGTGAGTGATTTAGACTTGTACTAAATGAATTTTTTCATAACAGAAGAAAAGATTTTGACTAGGAAGACAGATTATTCATAAAATAAAATTACAAATTAAGGTCAATTTCGAAAGTTTTCCAATCAGTTCTTTACTAGGCCATAATGAAAAAAAAATTCATTTCAGTTTAAGATGGTGTGAAATGAAATGCATAGTGGTATAGAAGCAACGTGACTCTGCATGGTCTTTCACTTTTTCATCCTCCATCTCTTTCTCTCCCTTTGTACTATTGGGAATTCAATTAAATAACCTTAATAGACCTTTTAGACCATCACTACGTCACGTTTTTATTGCCTCAATTTCCGTTAAAAGCCTCTATTCGGTTGAAGCGAACAACTCATACGCTCACTTATAATTACGCAATAACTAATTAAGCACATGGTCTCAGCTTCGAGTGGCAAAACTAAATGTTAAGGGGAACTGAAAGTCTTTAAAAGCCGCCGTCTTTGACGGCAGTATCCTTTCCCCCCCAACATCCATTCTTCGACCGGTATCCTTCGGCTACATATATGGAGTGAAACAAACTGACACAGTTAACAAAGAAGAACCGAGAGGGGCTGACGACATTTTAGCCACCTTCAAATGTTGAATTGCTACGCAGACAATATTTTTAAAAAAGAATCAATATTTTATTAACAATGGCCTACATTTAACAGAGAAATTTGCTTCATAAAGACCGGATGGGCTAAAGCGAAATTAACTTTCGTTCCTAAAATACGATCCGTCACGAATTCCATGTCGGAAAAGGCACTATTTTCCATCTGAATTTTGAATCTTCGAATGCCTCCATAAAGAAGGACTTTCGTTACCCGGCAAGTACACCCTTGAGTCACTACAATGGCCATAATGAATACGTTAAATAGGTCTGGATGGTAAGCCCAAATGGTTAAATTAATTAGAAAAGCGGGAGCGTTTGGGTTATTTAATTACAGAATGTAGCATTGCACTTTAAGACTTTTTCTTTCTGTTTTTGTAAATTGTTTCATAAAAAGTTGGTCATTCTCTGTTAACAATTAAATGCCTAAGATTTAGTCGTTAAGTTTTTTCTTAGCCTCTGTTTGTTAGTCTGTCTTCCTCTGCTTGTATTTGATTTTCTCTCGCTCACTCTCTCTCGCACTGAAAAAAAATTAGTAAAATTGTTAACATAAAAAATGATACTAATGATAAACAAATTACTATTTTAGTTTCCATTGACTAGTAGGAACTTTGACAGTGTTGATCATGATATACTCATTTCATTGCTGTGATCAATTAATCTATCCAGTAATGTTGTTAATTGGTTTAGATCTTACATTTCCAATAAGCAACAATGTTTAAAAATTAAAAAATAATAATAATAATAAAAAATCTAATTGGATGTTTACCAACCGTGGTGTCCCGCAAGGGTGTACGTTATCGGCTTTATTGTTTATCCTATATGTAAATAGAATTTATTACGAAATTGCTAACTGCCTCTTTTCTATGTATGCCGACGACTTGAATATATATGTAAAATCACAATTCTCAAATATAAATTACATTAAAACTAAATAGCCACATAAAAACTAAAAAAAGTGGTGCGATGATCATGGATTATCAAAATATTTAAAAAATGTAATGTTATTTTATTAGAACAACATCAACAGTTTGTAAATTTAAAAAAAAAATAATACTGAAAAAATCAAAATTGATGATAGTATATTAATTTTAAACAACGAAATAAAAATTCTAGGCTTAGTAATGGATAAATATTTAACCTGGAATACATATTGATAAAGCTTGTATCAGAAGACATTCCAGTGCATAACAATTAAAAAAATTATTTATTAATATTCATCCGTAAAGCTATTTTAATATACTAATGCTTCCAAATATAACTTATGGCTTTGCAGTAATTTCTTATCTTTCTAGTAAAAATCTTCATAGGTTGCATGTTATTATAAATATGTGTATTCCCTATATCTGTTATCTACACTATGATTCTAGAATTTATGACAAATACTATAATTTATCCATTTTAAAAATTGATGATTTGTTAAATTACAAAATTTTGACTATTTTCCATGACGTAATAACTATCCAAATCCATTATACCTATTTGCTATTATTTCTCATTTTAGTAAAAAAAAACTACTTTTACACGTTCTCAAACTGCATTTAAAATGCCATTGTGTTGTACACACTGTTTGTATAATTCATTTTTTCTCAGAACTATAAAACTTTACAAAAATTTACCCAATATTGTAAAATCATGGAAATCTAAAAATATTTTAGATCTCTCTAAAAATCTTTCTCTCGTTGATTAAGTTCAATCTTAGGTTTTATCAATAAAATATTCAATTTAAAAAAATTATTAAGTAAAAAAAATTAATTCTGTCTCTCTCCCCTACACGCACGCATGCACGCGCACACACACACACACACACTCTCTCTCTCACTCTCTCTCTCTCTCTCTTTCTCTCTCTCTCTTTCTGGGACCTCACTATCTATACTTTATTTATTTACTACATATTATCTGCCGATCACTATTTATTTATCTTTCTCAGTCTCTTTGCCTGGCTGTCTCCCTACATTTTTCTGTGAGTATATGTATCAATTTCTCCTTAATGTCTCTATCCCGTCTGTCTGTATTTCCCTCTCTCTTTCATTCTTTTTCTAACCAATTTTTCCTCTCAGACAGTATTTGATTTATTTACCTATTTCTCCATATTCTCTATATATATCACTGTTTATGTATATATCTCTACCTATTTGTTTGTTTATCATTATGTATCTGTTTTTCTTATTTTCTCTCTGTTTGCTTATCTATGTATTTCTCTTTATTTTTTTTCTACTCTCTGGCAATATAATTACCTATATTTCATTTCTCTCCCTGTGTTTTTGTCAGTGTGACTTGCTCCTTTTTCTTTTCTCCTTCTCTGTCTATACCTGGTTTCCTTTTCTCCCAGCCACTCTACGAATCTATCTCTTTCTTTTTCTAAGTTACGTCTAGTTGTCAATATATTTTACCATCTCTCACTATCTCTATTTAAATTGATAAACTTTGTAATAAACTTTCGTTTAAACATTATGGGAACTGGGCGTAAAAACATTTTTACCTTATTTATGACTTTACCTTCATGAACGTCTGTTTTTCTATTTTGCTTCGTCTATTTGTATGTTTCTCTCACTCACTCTCTCTCTTTCTCTTTCTACTTCATATAACAAAACGCAGAACAAAAACACTTAGCAATTCATTTAAAACAAAAGCTACAAAAATCTTTAACTCAATACCGAAACATATAGTTCAAATAAAAAGCATAAAATCGGGCAAAGTTGAAGAATACTTATTAAGAAAATATGTTGAATATAATACTAAAGATTATCATTTATCTCATTTAATATTTACGTAGTTAATATCTCATCATTTACTTACATAATTTTATTTATTACTTTATAATTTTATCTTTATCTTTTTTATCTTTTCATCTTCCTCTTTTTTATATGTTTTTTTATCTTTTTCTTTTTTATCTTTATCTTTTTTATTATATCTTTTACATTACCTTGTAAAAATGTTAATAATCATTTTATTAGTATTTTATTTCATTTTTAAATTGTAAGATTATGTTCCAATTCTAGAAGGTTCTAATCTAGTTTTTAAAAATCTTATGAAAAATCTATATCTAATTTTGTTACTCAACAATAATATGCTCTGTATAAAGTTCAACTTTCTCTTATTTTATTCATTTACTTCATTGATGATTTTACAATAATTTGTTGCTATTTTACGTCTGTTCAGACTATAAAAATCTATAGCTAATTTTGTTACTCAATAATAATATGCTCTGTAAAAATTATAAAGTATAAGTTCAACTTTTTCTCACTTTATTCATTTACTTCATTGATGAGTTTACAATAATTTGTTGCTATTTTAAGTCTGTTACTTTACCTTCATGAATATCTGTTTTTTTTCTCAGTTTCGCTTCGTCTATTTGAATGTTTCTCTCTCTCTCTCTCTCTCTCTCGGAAAAGGCACTATTTTCCATCTG